ACCAATTTAATCCCCGCATACCTGCATCCGAGCATTCTTTTCTCTGTACGACAACATCAATCAAATCCATTGGAAATCTCGCGACCGATCCATCGATCACTCGAGCTCTCGTAATCGCGATCGGAGCATCATCGGAATCCTCGATACTGTTGCTGCTGCTGCTGCTCACAGGCTCGCAGGATATCACACGGACATCGTGTTAATAATAATTCGAATCCGTCATAGTTGAAACACGCGATGCGTGTGTATGTATACGAGAAAGTACACACCCAAACATGGCCCATCAGCCGCCGGCATTTTTCAATGCGCCACACACACACATACTTACTACTATTATATGCGTGTTCGTGCGTATATTACACGAGAGCGCCCCTACCTCCTCCTTTGCGCCTGCACACACACACATATACTCACACGAACGAACGAACGAGACGTTCTTGGTGCATCGCCCGCTTCTCTTTTTCACGCATATATTCTCTCTCTTTCTCTCGCACTTTGGTAGTAATCGTGCTCCCTATTCGATATTAAGAATTCGTCGACGAATTGCGCATCGATACCACCAGATGCGGGCGTGAAGTGTATATACATACATGACGACGATGTATGTATATGTGTGTATATGCATAAATGAATTGCTCGAGCTGCCGAAGAGATTTTACTTCTTTTTTTCCTCTCTCTCTTCCGACACGACATGCCCCTGCGGAGAAGGGAGAGACGGCGTCGTTGTGTGTGCTGCTGCTGTTTTTTTTTTTTCACTTACTTACTTACTTCGAGTAGAAGGGGCCGACAATGGGGATATGTACCTGTCTTGGAAAGGGAAGGATGAGCTGCAGCTTCGGCTGTACACAGAATCTCTGCAGCGCTAAAATTGATTATCAGTATTGCCTTCGCCTCGGATCCTATCGAGGGGGAGTAGCGCAGCTCTCGTGTTATATGCAAAATAGGCTTCGCGCCAATGCACGCGTACGATATATACATAGCTGGTAGTTCGACTGTGTACCAATCGATGATCTCTTCTTTTAAAGAGCGAGATAAAAAAAATCGTAGCAGCTCATTAGTGCAATTATATAAGCATTAAATTCAAATTAATTGATGCGTGAAAAGTTTCGTGCACATCGTTTCATTGGAGCTTCGATCGGTCGTTATCAACGAAACGTTATTGCTTATAGGCTACTTAATTTCTTCATAAGTCGTCGCATTATCGTCCTCGTCTCACCCGAAAACTGTCCACTTCAGAGGCTCGCGTCTATATACGTATTATCTCGCGCGCACGCGAGCGTACACACATGCACACATACTTGAATTAATTTAACATTTCCGGAACAAGTGAGTGGGTCGAGTATATGGGCACTTCAGCTCGCGCATCAACAGTATATATCTCGAGACTCTCTTCGGAGGCGCAGCTCTTACAGCACAGCATACGCAGTGCCTCATGAATCTTTATTACCTCGATAACGTTTTCGTGAACATCCATCGTTACTATGAAGTATCGAGTCCACTAGATACGTTGTTATAGGATCGAGGAAAATAAAGGAAGAGAAAATTCTGACGCCCGGTCGTGGTGAACTTTTTTTTCCTCGTATATTACGTGTTATATTTCGGGATACACAACGTATATACAATCGTGCGCAAGTAGCAGATACATACGCGTTTTGCGCTCGTAACGTCGTAGCTCGAAGTACGTACGAAGCTACAAATTCGTAGTTTGCGCTTTACGTAGCATACAATATAAGCCCGTCGAAGGGGAAGAAAAACATCGAGATAAGTAGTAGGGGAAGATATGGACTTTTTCGGTGCCTATACACAGTAGCATAGTAGTACACAGTATATATATAGGAGCGGACAAAACATAATGGGGCTTTCTCTGTTCTTTCTCTCTCTCTCTCTCTCTTATTCTCTCCCCCTTCGGCTGCCCCAAAGCGCAACAACGCACGACGTCAATGTCAGTAGTATATACGGCGCTCAGCAGCGTATACGAACGCGTTAACCTGCAATTGAGCGAGCGAGCGCGTGCACGGGTGTATAAGGCATAGAAAAGGGAGAGAGAGAGCCAGAGAGCAGGAGGCCCCTTTTCGTCAATGCCAGTCCTGGCAATGGGGTGGAGTCAGGCATGTACACACGCACACACACACACACACACACACACACACACACACTGGCTCGATCGCTAGATTTCTCTTTCTATTCAGCGTCGCACACGTATTCACTCACACTAGCTTATAATACATATAGGCATCCAAAGCCACTTCGTTCGTATATACAATATACACGATACGTTGATTCCAACGGGTGGGAGTTATTACGCTTTACCCACTTTCGTGTATACGCACAAACACGCGTATAGCGCCACTCGTCCATGAGAATCATGCACGTATGTGTGTGTGTGTGCGAGGCAATTTATGTAATCGCCATCTCTCTCTCTCTCTCTCCGGAGCTCACCTCTTTCTTCTCATGTTTTCTTCTTGTCTCGTGCGTGCGCTGCGCGTATAAAAAAACAACAGCAACAACCGAGACCGCAGCCAGCTTCTCACCGATATTCTTATTACCCCACGTTATGGTATGGTACGCGAGCGAGCGGGCCCCGGGACTCGAACCTCGCTTATATATATACGTGTGTGCGTGCACCGTCATACACACAATATAGGAAGCGGTGCACGCATAGAGTGTTAAAATCCAGCCAAAGACATTCCATTGCACAGGCCCATTAATGAGCTTTACGTATATGTACGAGTATACGTGTTTCGCGCGCGAGGTGTATGCATATAGGGGTGTAAGGGTACGGGTATAAGAAAAAATAAAATATGGATGAATGCAAAGACGAGGCACGCAAGAAACGTTGTCGCGACAAAGTACGTGCGAGTGTGCCACACGCTTCGTACACGGAGGATAATTATTTACATACTTATTGTACGTACGCGATGAAGAATGGGGCGTTAGACTTCTCATCATCTTTTTTTTCCTCTTCTTCTTCTTCTTCGTCTCGTGGACCCTGTCACACTTCCGTTTCTCGCTCTGGCGCGCGACGACTCTTCCTCTCTCGATTTATTATATGTAAAGCACGCTGTACGTACTATGGTACTGCTACCACAATGCGCGGAATGCGGTTCGTATATTGTTTTCTGCCGTGCGGGTGTTAAAGGGCCCCCACGTCTGGCTTCTTTCATTCCTTTTTTTTTCTTCCTCTCTCAGCTAAATTGTGACCCACGCGAAGCGAGTCTCTCGCTCTCGTATGTATGTTTAGTATATACACGAGTACACTTTTCTTTTCAGTCGAATTAAAAAAAAAAGAAGAGAAAAAAATAGTTGCAACTACCCCCGCATGTACAGGCATGTACTTACATATTCGCGACAATAGGCAGCGCCGTGAAAGAGACTTCGCGTGCATTTTACACGCTCATATTTATACGTACACGTACGGAATTTTGCATGAATGCGGGGAAAAAACGACAAGAAGTACCATAGAGAGAATAATTTTAGATCGCGAGACGTTGGCGGTGGTAGCGGCGGCGAGGAAGTGCTTTGTCGTTTTGAATGAGGCGCGCGTTGCGTGCCGCAAACGTTGAGAGTGTTTACCGTTCACGCGATAATTCACGCCTGATAAATATACGCAAACACGTATGTAGCTGCATATACACGTGCATTGCCCCGTCATTGCTGCCGCTGCTGCATTCGTACACGCATATATACAGCACACGAGTGTAGCATTATGCGCATATAAACGAGCTTTTATGCAATTGCGTCTAATTGATATATTATACTCCTTTAATGATATTTATTCGATAAATATATAAAGATACGCGCGAAGCGGAGAGAAACGCAGAGAGAGAGAGAGCTGAAGTATGTTTATATAATGAATATCTCGGGCCTCTATTATAATAGCCAATTCCTTGCGCGTGTGTACTCTGCCGTGGCAACAGGTTGGAGGGATCTTATATATATAGTACACCTATAACCGCAGCGCACGGCACACCGTGCAAGTGCAGCACACAGCGCCTGGAACGAGCAGTCGAGCACGCGTATCGGAAGCCGATCATTTTTCTTTTCTTCCGTTCTTTTTTTCTTTTCAATTCTCTCTCTCTCTCTCTCTCTCTCTCTCTCTCTCTCTCTGAGACGGGAGAAAAGAGGTGCGAGAGAGAGATTAAAAATGGGAGGTGTCAGTACGTATATTCCAACGCGCACCATAGAAGAATACACTGAAAAGTTCATTAAGAAAGCCTGTGTTTTTTTACATTTTACATGAAATATTCATGTCCCGCGAAAATCCATTTTTTATTTTATTTCGAAAATGTTGATACGATCGATATCATTCGCAAATGATAAGATTGAAAATGTGCGGGGAGATATTTTTTTTTTCGTGAAACATAAATTTCCGGATATGATTGTACACGAAACGTAATTTTGTCAAAGAAACAAAAATGTTTACTCCTTCGCCACTAGATGGCGAGTGCCCCTTGATCTGTAAATCTGCAAGTTTTAAAGTGAAAATAAGTGTATAAGTCTAAGCACAGTTTAACATGATGAAGATTTTAATTCCACGAATATCAACTTTGCTGCTTAGGCGCTACCACACCTGTTGATGTCCGATTCTAATTGTCTTTTCATGCACAAATAACTTTTTCATTGGTCAAAATCTATCCATAAAATATTCAGAAAAAATATTGATAAAATTATGAATACTTCATAAAAATGAACAAAATTTTATTTTCGTTGAATTCGTAATTATATCTCACAAAGTTGCCTTAAACCACTTATAAAGTTTACATCGTCCCAAAAACGTATGAAAAACTTTATAACCATAATTTTATACAATTTATATAAAGTTTTTAGTTTTTTTTCTACTTTGATACAGTTTTAATTAAATTGTTCATGTTAATTCATCGTGCACGAGCGATACACCCTTATAAAACATACGTAATATAGATCATAACTCCCGAAATATGCGACGTTCACTCATCCGTGCGATAATTTAATATATTTTTCTTCTTCTCTTTTTTTCGCAGACAAGATGATGCAAGTGTTGCGAAGGGTAGTAGCGGTACGGCCGAACGGCGCAAGCAGCAGCAGAAACAACAACAAGTGGCTCTTTGGCGAGGGGTCGAAATTTGCCGGACGCTCGGCGGTGAGCTGTCACTGCTACGCCAGTAGCAGCAGCAGCAGCAGAAGCGGCGGTGCTCAGGCCGCGGGTCGCGTCAGGCCGGAACTCACCGCGCTGCGCTACAAAGTCGAGCGCGGACCCTACGCCGAGCTCGGCCAGCGGGACGAGTCGTTTTTCCGCTCGCTCCTGGGCGAGGATCGCGTCATCACCGAGCCCGACGAGTGCGACAGTTACAACATCGACTGGCTCAGATCCGTCCGAGGTCTGTTGTGTATATTTTACGTATATCTTTTTTTGGGCGCTCCCTTTGAATGTGACGGCTAAAAAAAAGAAGAAGAAATAACATCAATTCCCACCTCTTAAATCTTAACCCGAAGAGCTGCCTGAAAAAACTTCTTTCGGCACTTCAAAACTGGTGCGAGATTAAGACGCACATCGGCTCTTAGGATTTATTCCCTCTGTTTATTTTTTTTTCTTCTTAATTTTAGGTTCCAGTCGAATCGTACTGAAGCCCAAAAACACGGACGAAGTTTCGGCCATCATGAGCTACTGCAACGAAAAACGACTGGCTGTCTGTCCGCAGAGCGGCAACACGGGCTTGGTCGGTGGCAGCGTGCCCGTCTTCGACGAGGTCGTGCTCTCGATGAAGCTCATGAATCGTATCATCGATACCGATCCGCTTGCCGGTGAGTAATAACACGCGCAGATATCGACCCGTAATTTTCGAATTTTCATCTAGTTAAATGCCTCTTTTCAAGCTAAGTTATGGTATAATACTGTGATATTATCAAATGTTAATTGCAGATACGATACATTAACTTAACACGGTTTATTGTCGTTTCATTCAGACACGTTTTCTGAAATTACTCGAAGGATGACATTCAATAAAAAAAATACTCAAACACTCACAGTAAATGTGTTTGCTACTTTTCTAATTTCTTGGAATTCGTGGGTGGGACCAATTAGCTCGACTAATTAGAATATAATTGAGGTTTAACTATACGGCCATATTAATTACACGTGATGGAGTTCTATGTGACCTATAGCGTGCATTCGAATTTAGAAAAACTACGAAAAGGGGAGGAGTTTGATCGATTCTTCTCACTCTGGTATATTTCAATTCGAGTTATAAACACAATTTCTCGATATATACAAGCGAGAGAGAGAGAGAGAGTAGGGTAAACTGGGCTTGTATTTTCTCTTCGCGATCGAAACTCAAATCTCATATGCAATAAAATATGCAAAAACAGTCTCATATTTGGCCAGAGGATGCATGCATCATATACATTCAGCGGCAACGAGGTCAATCGGCCAAAAATATAACATCAAAACTCGGAGCGCGCACAACGTGCATCGCCAATGTAATTCGGAGTCGTCCCAATAACCTTCTTCTCTATATACATCTCGTTCCTTGACAAAGTTCGTCAAATTTTCATTCGTTTGCATTATATTTCTATATGTATTTTCGAGTTTCTACGCTAAAAATGCCCGAGATATATGTCACTCGTTGTACCCAATGTATGTTATAATACACGCAGCTACTAGGCGAACAATCAAGACTGCTCCCGCGTAATGTGGCTGTATACACACACGCACGAGGCGCAGGAAAATTAGCACACAATTCGAGAAGCTATATAATAACGTGTGCGTACATCCCCCCACATTTATACTTATAAGCCATATTACATGAACGTAGGTAGTACCGGCTCACTCGCTTCAAAACGGCCTTTTTTCATCTGCTCTTCTTCTTCTTCTCGCTCTCGGCGCGTGTGTGCGCCGACGGACAAAGTTTCCTGTACATACAGACGGGGCAGGTATACGCGCGCGCGAGCTCGTAGATCTCCGAAAAGAGGTTCTCTCTCTCTCTTCTTCTCCCTCTCATCGCTCTCGTGAAATGCCATATTTTATGCTACATAGCATATACAAGCCAGGGCCCCGGTAATAAAGACTTTTGAAAATTTTGGAGACACGTCTGCGTGTATAATATTAATACTCGAGGGCCACAGGTAGTTCTTCTTCTTCTGCCTGAATAGTATAGTAATAGTAATATACAACTTGATAAGTTGATAGTTTTAGGGCTACATATATATCCCCTTGAATTATTTTTTATGCACACACATATGTGCGCGCGGGATATATTACCAGCTGTTTCCCTTTAGCCGAAAAGTCCAAGAAGTCATAAAAAGAAAGTGCCGAACTCGAAGTGGATGCTTTGAGCCGCGTGCAGCGCAGCGCACAGGTATATATTATGGGCACGAAGCTCGACCGACGCTCGCAATATATTATAAAAAGGTCTTGGACTCCGAAAAAGTATCGCAGACATACGTGAAATTCGCGAATATGAATACAAGCATATGTGTGTGAGTGTATATGTAAGGCCCTCTCAAGAGTCCTTCTTAGCCTGTGTGTGTGCGCGCGCTGTATAATAGGCGTAAAAAAGGATATATAGAGCGGGCGCAGTTAGCGAGCTAGCCAGCCGAGTCAAGGTCGAATTTTTTCTCGACGCGGCGCGCGAGTAGCCAACTTAAGGAAAGAAAGTCGTGCGAAGATAACTTACCCAAACAAGAATTTTGTGTTTGCACGATTGCGACTACTCGAGTGATTTGAGTTTTTTTTTTATTTTTAATTTTTTTTATAGCAGTAGCAGCAGCAGTACTTGAACGCGATCTACTTTAGAGCGGCATTTTTTTCATGTAATATACCGTGGACGCGTGTTGACGTTAGCCACAAAAACGATCGTTTCATTTGAGGTCTGAGCACCAAAATCGATTCCCTCCGATTTCCGACGGGTTGCTGCTACTGCTATGTGTAGTAATGAGCAAGTGACCTTTGCGCAGAAGCGACGATCGAGAAATAAGAAAAAACACTTAATCGACTACTTGCAATTGCGCGTTGTATTATGCACATAATAATAAAGGAACTTAAAGAGCAGCGATACTAGGTAGCGATTATATTTTTTTGACTATACGTGCGTACATATTGTGTATAGTATAGTAGAAGAGAGAAAGAGAAAAAAAAGAGAAGTAAAGCAATTACCGTGCGGCACACCGACTGCGAAACCGCTGCGTACTGCCCAACTCGCACACACACACACACACACACACACACACACACAAAAGCCCGCAGTAGAGACCGCCTAATTATCGATATTTATGACTAATTTTCGAAGAATAGAAAGTAGAGGAACCATTTTTAGGTAGCATTGCGGAAATTCTTTATGCCGCGTGTATATATCGTGTAGCGTGTATACATACTCCGGTAAAGCTTTACAACAATGTGTGTAAGTGTGTAAGTGTGTAAGTAGTAATAGTAGTAGTAGGAGAGCCGAGAGAGGAGCGCAAGTATTATAGAGAGAGAGAGACCATTGTCGTAACCTTGCACCACCTGTTCCCCCCTGCTGTTTACACACATACACACATACTCTTTTTTTCGCTCCGACCTATGTACGGTACTGTATATTATATAGGTATAAAAACTGTGTGTGTGTCAAGCGCCACGCATCCGACGCGTAGCTATTTTGACTAGAAAAAAGCAAAGAAAAACGGAGGGGGACGGGGAAATAGTATATAGCAGTGGTAATAATGTCGCGCCGATCCGGATATATACATATACCTAAAGGGCTTTTAAGCATACATACATATAGAGCTCGATCGAAATCTTGTGCTTTAGAAAATACACCTAGACATCGGCCGCGTTATCTTCTCGTGCCGTGTACTATGCACTATTGTCTCTAATTATCGTCCGGGCGCTGTATTATTGCGGATGGTCGCTAATGAGTAGCTTCTACTAGATAATAACAACGCTAATCTAGATGGAAGTTGTTCGCTCTCTCTCTGTCTACTTATATATATTGTATAGTGGGTATACGTGCAGAGCAAAGAGCGACCGGACGAGCCCGCGTGCCCAGAAACGTATAGAGTAAAGGAGAGATAGAGAGACAGGCACGTATAGTGCATATATAGTACAGAACCCTGAAGTACCGTAAGAGCCTCTCTCTCTCGCTTATTCGGTTCTGCTTCGTCTTTTTCTCCTCGACCGTTAAGCCAAAGCCATCGTCGTCGTCGTCTCTCTCTTTCCGATACGAGGCTTATATGTGTGCCCAGTTAACATATATATGCAGAAACGAGCCAAATAAAACTAAAAGTTAGCTTTTAGGACCGAGAGAGAGAGGGTGGGCACGACGACGCACTCTTTTATTTAAATTGCCCTTATACAATACACGCCAAAGTGTTTTTTATCAAATTCCAACCGTAGGCCTAATTTATAATAATAATCATTATAAAAGATAAATTGCATAGATTCCGTGTGTGTAGCGTTGTGCTCGTTTCGCGTTTTAACGATTATAATGCCTCCTCGTCGCCGTCGTCGTTCGACGGCCGATCTATGCTGCCCACGCTGCCGATTCTCGGAAGTATATAGAGTTATAGAGTGGGCCTTTTTTACTCTAAATTTTAACTGCACATTATAACCCATTCGCACTCATAATGCCGAGAGATGCCTACTTTTATACTACTCGCATAATCGGCCATGATTTTTCACGCTCGAGTGTGTGCGCTGTATAACGAAGTCAAAAGACGACGATGCCCATCGTCGTAATCTCTCTTTCTCTCTCTGTTCCCCCGCTTCTTTCATTTATCAAAAGCGACCCGCAGACAATTGATAATTTCAAGCTCTCTCTCTCTATCCCCCTGTACCCTAAACGTTTTCAACTCATCGATTCGTATTCGAGCTTGATTCAACCATTCTATTTTTATCGTTTGCTCGTAGGTGTGCTGGTGTGCGAGTCCGGCTGCGTGCTGCAGACCCTCGACGAGCACCTCAACAAGCACGGCATGCTGATGCCGCTGGACCTGGGCGCCAAGGGCAGCTGCCTCATCGGCGGCAACGTGTCGACCAACGCGGGCGGCCTCAGGCTCCTGCGCTACGGCAATCTCCATGGAAACATCCTCGGATTGGAGGCCGTGAGTATTATATACTTCGTACGATATTATGCAAAATTACGTTAAATCGCGTAACGATAAAAAAAGAATGAATAAAATAAAGGATCGATCAAACCTTTCGCTCGCTCGGGTGCGGGCGTTCGAATAAGATATATAAAAATGCACGCGCACGATTTTCGGGGCACGCTGCAGCGCGAGTGTGTTTATCTTTCTACAAATGAAAAGCAAATACGCGGCGCAGTAGTCTGTGAGCTGAGAGTGCATGCTACATGCGTGGTACGTACGTGCGTATCGCGCGAAAGAGGGGATATAGGACTGCGCGAATTTATATGTGTGTGTGTGTGTGTGTATACAGGTGCTGGCCAGCGGCAAAGTGATCGACTGTTTGAACACATTGAAAAAAGACAATACCGGCTATCATCTGAAGCACTTGTTCGTCGGCTCGGAGGGCACGCTCGGCGTCGTGACCAAAGTGGCAATTCAGTGTCCCAGCCTGCCCAAGGCCGTGAACGTCGCCTTTTTGGGTGAGTCATCTCTCTCGCTTTCTCACTCTCTTTCTCTCCATAAGTATCACATGGGTGTCCCCTCAATTACGGCTTTTAGCGCTGCTGCTGCCGCTGCTGCGCGCTTTGTACATTATTGCGCTCTCCTCTCCTCTCCTTCCTTTAATACCGTCGCTCGTGTAAAATAATGCGCGCACGAATTATAAACACTTTTTTTGTATCGAACTCAGGAATGAACAGCTGGGACAGCGTGATGAAGACCTACAGACTGGCCAAGAGCGAGCTCAGCGAGATACTGTCGGCCTGCGAGATCATCGATCGGAAATCGGTGGAGAACGCCCGCGACACCCTGGGCCTGAGGAGTCCGCTGGCGAGCGAGCACGAGTTCTACGTGCTGATCGAGACGTCGGGCAGCGAGGCCAGACACGACGACGAGAAGGTCTCGGCCTTCCTCGAGAAGGCCATGTCCGAGGGCGTGGTGGACGACGGCACCGTTACCTCGGAGCCCAGCAAAGTCAGGGTTGGTGTTTTTTTACTGCTCGTTGTTTCTATTTCGTCGCAATTTCGCGAGGAGGAAGTAAAAATATGTGACACGAGTCTGACATTAATAATGCATCGCTGCTGACGTGCGTGACTTCTTTAATTTTTTTTCCCCGTCTCTGTCGCGCGTACAGAACATCTGGGAGCTGAGAGAGAGGATGTCCGAGTCCCAGACTGCCGAGGGTTATCTCTTCAAGTACGACATCTCGCTGCCGCTCGAGGAGTACTACAGCATCGTGCCGGCGGTCACGGAACGCCTCAAGGACTGCAACGTTCGATTCGTTACCGGTTTCGGCCACGTGGGTCAGTATATAATACACATTGTATACACGTATACATGCATACGCTTACGCAATATCGAATTTCACCCAGATGAATATAATATATTGCCGAGCAATGTATAAATCATTGTACATTTCGTTCGCACGTCTGAGCGCGAAGAAGGCTCGACGCACAAGCGCGCGCGGAACTCGTCGAATTTTTGAGACGATCAATCTTGTATCATTGACCGGGAAAAAGTAGTCGGAATATTTTTTTGAATAGAAAATTTTTGCTTCGGATAAGATGGTTGCAGATCAGTGACGGTATATTGAAGCTAAGCAGAGAAAAATGAAGTCAAAACCGATTCCAAGGACAAAGTAATAACAATCAGAAGCAATAGTTATAGAAATAGTAATAGTAATAGTAGTAGTAGTAGTAGTATAGGTATCGAGTAAATCAATAAGCAAGAATAGAAATTTTAGGTTTAAAACGAAGTATTGTAGATAGTTATCGAGTTTGAGTCTTTCAAAATATATCCCATTCCATTTAATTTTCTTTTTTCAACGTTGATTAATTTAACTTTTAGGGCAATTTCGTTAGCAAATTTTTTTTGACCTAATGAAAAATTTGTAATTTGATTGAAATCCTTCTATTTGAATAGTTGAAAAATAACTGCAATTAAAAATTAAAATTTGCAAATTATACAATTAGATTTTTTAAAAATTTGTTTATTTGAATAACATAAAATATTGTACATATAATTATTGCCATTACAAGCTTTGGCCCGTAGCCACCAAGCAAATACGCATTAAATCTTCGTTCATCAAATTCTCGATGATCATCTCACAGCAGAGAATAGGCAGCTGATAGCGCGTCAGCTCCAGGAAAGAATCTAGGGCCCATCGCTGGAAAAATCTTCTCGATAGTTTTTCGCAAATATGTACGGTACAAACCTCTCCGTGGCTACGTGGAACTTTCCAAAACTCACACGAGCCCCTGAATTTGAAGTAGTTCCTATAAGTGAGCAGTTTGTTTGCCGCTTCGGGTCGTAACCGGATCAGATCGTAGAGAGACAGAGTTGGAGTAATCATGGTCTCTTTCGCTTTGCTCGTAAACTCCTCTTCGTCGTACCAACATCTTTCAACATCCGTCGATTTTTCGAATATTTCGTACTTAGCGAAAAGTTTCATGATCGTCAGGGCGTCGCTTCGGTCCAGCTTATATCCTCTTTCCTCAAGACTATCGACGGCGTCCAGAATGCCCGACGCCACTGTTATTTTTTTATTATAAAACCAAATTTCATCACTTTTCCATCTCTCCTCGAAGTGCCTCTCAGTGGGGAAAACGAAACGAGACAAATCGGCACCGTTGTCCAAGAGTATATCAACTTTATTTGGAAAAAAATACGCCATGGCGCATTGTAGTGGTGTCCGGCCTAAACTGTCCTCAGCGTCGATCTTCACCGCCTGATCGACTTCGTCGCTGATCTCGAAGAATATCTCCATTGTACCATCTGTCGCACCCGACGTGCAAATAACGTGTAACGGAGTTAGACCGTCCTTGTTAGTCAAATTCGCGTCGGCGCCGTGTCTCAGCAGCAATTCCGCCACTAGTTGTCTGTCGTGGCGCACAGCCAAGTGTAGCGGTGGATCGAACGATTTTTGCGAAAGACAATCGGGATCCTGGCCGAGCTCGAGAAATTTCTCGACGACTTCGTCGCAGTTGAACTCGCAGGCTACGTGGAAATGAGTGCGACCAGACTCGTCGTTCACGTAATTCACGTCGAACCTGTTGTAAATGTTGAATAGGCAGCGTCTGACGACCTGAGTATGCATACAACTTACATGATGCAACGCCGTGGTGTAATGCAACAGAGGATTGCCGTCTTCGTCGACGTCGGGTTTGTCCTCGTAACCGGTGCGAGCCACGAACTTGACGAATAGAAGACCAGGAACATAATTATACTCATATGTGTTGATTATGGACTCTCTGAGAAAATAATCAATTTCTTCCTTTCGAAAAATGTTTTTTAGATCAGGAAGATGGCTGTTCCATTGATGAATCAATTTTAAAAAACGGCAGAAAAATGGGTATCGCTCTTCTTCGACCTCCCAATTGCAGCTCTCGCGCATACTCTTCAATGTTTCTAATTTTTCTCGATTACGACGATCCGCTTCTTCGGAACCTTGGTCGTTGCCAAAGAAACGTTCATCGTCAGAGTCTTCGGACGAGGACATTGTTCTGCGTGCACTCAACACACAAACTACACGGTCACTTATAAAATGAAATACTTTTTTTGCGAGGACCACTCGCTGAAATCGATGCGATGTTTCTTTGTTCGTCGTTGCGGTGTCGTAACGCGTGTGTATACTGGACAAAGTATGTTAGTCGTTTGTGCGAGGCAAACTCGCGCGAACACGCACGTCGCACAGCGCCGCAGAGTCAAGCAAGCGAGCGTGACAGAAACGGAGAAATAAGTGGCCGAGCAGTAGTCGCTGCAGCAGAAGCGATCGAGCCGACTCTCGACACTCAGAGCGCTGGTCAATCACAGCGCGCCTAAGACTCTGTCTTTGAAGAATCTATTCCCTACAATTACCGTCCTTTCGTTTGTTTTTCACCTAAGTTATCACCTGCTCGATACCCATTGTGCGTAAAGAAGTTTCACATCAATAAAGTATGTTTCAGTGTATTTACATTGTTCAATACGTCTTTTGAAAGTAAGAATGTTTATCGAAAAACGAAATTGTAATTAACTTCAGTTCAAATGCCATATTCATTGATTGCATTTATGAGGTTAAAGTAACGATACAAATAAACAACAGAAAATATAGCCCCTGCGTCAAAATGTATCATCAATTAAAATTTATTCAAAATCGATCAATTGCACATATATTTATCAATTCAAAAACTCTCAGGAGGTCAAAAACTCTCTTTTGGGAAATTTTTCTAGACCCTATGTAGTGCTTGTACTTGGTATGTGTATAGGAAAGCATCACTTTTTATGGATCGAATTATCGCAAGCTAGCGTGAGTTGACGATACAAGCGGGTATCCACTAATGAAATAGCTTAATAGGTCACTATACTGGGAGTAACATAAGCAGAGTCTTAATCCAGTGCCTATATATAAAACGAAGTATAAGCTCTGCTCAATAGGGCAATGGAAATATAAACTTAAAAAGTTCAGTATTTATTTATATAGGTTCAGAGTTTCATATATTTACTTGTATATTACGATAAAAATTATTACTTGTGATATTGATTAACATATAAGTTTGAGGATGCTTATTATGAGATTTCAAATGCAATTAATATTCAAACAATAATGGATAATTAATACTAATAAGTATGTACCAAACAGGCAACAGGTCAGTAGGCGAATGAATTCTATTATTAAAGTACGGAGACGGAAATAATTCAAAACTCAAATCACAATCCCAATACCGGATACAAGTTGAACTAAAAGCGGTAATTTTATCTCCTCAACTTTGAATATTAATGCACTTGAAAAACTTGCCTGAAAATCGCCTAATGAAACAATTAAATGCTCTATATTGTGTTAAAGTTGCTGGTACTTTTTCGAAAGTATTATTGTCTCTTAGAAATAAATGATACGTGTAGTTCTATTTCAACCTGGCTTCAATGCGCGTCGAAGTATCGTCTAAGAGTAAATTGTTTACTTTATATCGTTTCGATTATGGGCAGCTGATATGTTTTGGTTTTTTAAAGAGCAAAGTATCAATGATTTTGAATCTGTTGTTTTAAACAAGATATTGAGTTTTTCGTTCAAAAACAAAATCGACTGAAAATTGTTTGATACAATATAGAAAGTATATCGAGACACCTAATTCATCATTACTCGTCGCGAGAAAATCCGATTTTCGTCCGAAAATCATACAAGTTCGAAGTCCTACGAATTCGTACTAAGGATACCATTATTCTATTCACACACTTCAACGCATGGGCGTATTATTAACGTCAGCAAGTCTGCTTGAATGAAAACGCAAAATCGATATAGATGACCCATCGACGCATGCCAAAATTCTGTTTTTTTTCTTTTTACAAGAAAGTATGCGCCACGCACAACAAGGCCAAAAAGACCCGCGGGATATTTTGAAAAACTTCCCAGTACAGTTATTTTTTCCTTCTTTTCCTATGTCAAATTCATTCCAATTTTTGCGAATTATACATACGTTTTTTCTTGCACACGCTTCGTAACCCACGTGCGCGGAATCCCGTAATGTTCGATCGGAATACTGATTTAGCCGAGAGAGAGAGATATATGCTTGCGCGCGTACGTATGAAATGGGATAAAACGAGAGGGGTGTGTGCAGCAGGGCTAAAGCCATTATGTAACTTAGTCAACTTCCAACTTTATAAGGGCATCTATATACGAAAATCCCTGAGAGAGCATTCGGCGCGGGGGTCTCTCTCACTCGCGAAAACCACAGCTTATATGAGTTTGCTCTCGGGCGCGCCGCCGCGTCGAGCCTCTCCTATCTCTCTCGCTCTCTGATTGTCTTATATACGCGAAGGAGGGTAAGTAGTTGGTCGTCGTCGAGGATTTGAAAATGATCACTTATCCAATTGTAGTTTTTAATCGCGGAAAACACGAGAGAGAAAGTAAAAAAAAGAAGGAAAAAGAAGGCAGAGAAAAAATTCGCCCAGTCATATATATACCGGTAACATCGATATTTCATTCGGCTCACGCACAAGCGCGCAACTCATAGGAGAGGTATATTACACACAAACAGGCCTGGCGTATAATATCTTAATCCATTGTTGAATCTCTTTCCCCTTTCGTGAATGTCTCTCGGGCTCCTCGCACACACAGACGCACACACACACACACGCACACACGCACATGTACACAATATTGTGCGCTTGTGTGTCTGTGAGTACATATATACCTGCACGCTTATAGACAGCGCACGTACTTTCATCTTTCTCCTTTTACTTTTTTTTACTTCATAGGCCTAATTTCGGAGTCAAAATAAAAAAATAAACATAATCCCGTTTTACGATTTTCAGGCGACGGCAATCTCCACCTGCAGATCAACACGCCGGACTTCGACCAGGAGGTGCACGACATGCTCGAGCCCTGGGTCTTCGATTACACGTCGAAGCGTCGTGGCAGCATCAGCGCCGAGCACGGCATCGGCTTCAAGAAGGCCAAGTATCTGCACTACAGCAAGGACGGCTCGGCGATCGAGCTCATGCGCACGATCAAGGCGACCATGGATCCTAATGGCATACTCAATCCTTACAAGGTCGTCTGTTGAGGTGCAGCCTTCCAAGTGTCTGTGTGCGTGTGTTACGATATCGTTGAAGTAGTGCGCCCACTATACGCACACACAAAGGCTGTTGATTTTTTTTTTTTTTTTTTTTTTNTTTTTTTTTTTTTTTTTTTTTTTTGATGATGATGATGGAGATTATTCTTTTCTTTCTCTTCTATACAATAAAATAATGTAAGTGAATTGCAATAGGTGAAGCGATACAATTCGCCAGCACGAGCAGTATTCTCTCATTCGTTCCAGTGACTCTACGAGTACGATGTGTGTGATATGTGAAAAAAAGAAAAAAAATCATGCAAGGTGATTACCAGATTTTTTAATTCTCGAACGATGCGTACCGGCGTATACACGCATAAACTTTTTTTTACCCGTGGGGCATTTATATGGAAAATCTAAATACCCGGAGCTCGTTCGAATTTTATTTGCGCATAAATTATTGAATTGAAATAAATTGTAGCGATATATATTTTATATATATCTGTATTTTTATACCCAGTGAAAGAGAAAGAGAGGTATGCCACTCGCATAAATCTTATGTAAATAAACGAACGTGTTGGAAGAGATGTATGGAGATTCGATTTTCAAAAAAAGTTATATTTTTACAATATGTATATTTTGCGAGAAATATTTTATAGTTGATCGTCAGGTGATGTACATAAACAAACGTTGATTGTTTTGTTGACTGTTATAGAGGACGAAGTTATTTAAATAAAACTGTTAAACAAAGAACTCATTATATTTATTCGACAACATTAAAGCATCATCTAACAATTTGCAGGATACGGAAACATCATCATAATATTATCTAAGATCTCCTAATCAATGGTTCAACTCTGCAATCAGTGCTGGGAGTCAAAGCGAAAAAAAACTTAACCACAAGAAGGATTATGCAAGTCGCACAATCCGTAAGTATCGTCGTATATATATGTCCCGTTAAATCGTTCGTTCACCTCGTCGGATCTTATATACACGCAGCAACGAGAACGGAGCAACAACTTCGCGGAGGTAAAGAGAGCTCCGTGTAGCAGCAGCGGCAGCGAGCGCAGTGCTCAAGCCTTTTTTTTCTTTTACTCTCCCGCTCGGTCTCTTGCTTCTTTTTTCCCCCACACGCAGACTTTTCCTTTTCGTAATCATATTTTCGAAATAATTCACGCCTCCCCCTTTTGGATCGATACCCTATGCCGTGCATACGTATATATACTCGCGGAGTCGTATACAATACCCCACGGCAAGCTAAAGAGAGAGAGAGAGAGAGAGAGAAACGTTGCCTGCCTGCCTGCCACTGCTACTGCTGCTTCGCCATCGTCTATCTCTCCCGCGTGTACACCGTTAAAATAGCACACGCAGTATATACATATACGGTATATAGGCAAGTGCTCGTCCAAATCGAGTCTCTCTCTTTTCTCTCTCTCCCTCTCTGGCATCAGGGCATAAAGTGGAAAATCATTATGGCCCGCAGCAGTGGCGGCAGGCAGGCAGGCAGCACATCTAGTCGCATATACGGCGGTGGGTAGGGCCGTTGATTAATTAACGAGATGCAGCCAGTATACATACATACGTATACGTATACTGTATATGTAGATAGATATAAGTATGCATGTGTGTGTGTATGCCCCTGTGCCACCGCCACCGTCGCCGCCGCCGCTGCTACTGCTGCCTTATTAAAAGTGCATCGGCCCAGCGGCTAAAGCTGACTGACAGCCACGAGTGGTGGTGCATGCCAGCGACGCAAGCAGCAGTTTTCTGCAGGCATATACTGTGACCGAAATTCATCTACATTCGCTGCTGCTATTCTTTCTCTCTCTCTCTCTCTCTCTCTCTCTCTCTCTTTTACTCTCTATATATACGGGTACATCAGCCTACGGGTACACGGCTCTCTATCTCCGTCTCTCTTCCTCTTTCTCGCGTTTTGCTTCTATTTTGCCCGAGAGCCGGTTTTTGTCCTGGCCTCGGAGAAAAAGCTTGGAGCTGCTGCTGCTGTGGCGGGCGCCTCGCAGCGGCAACACTACTGACTGATGGCGCCATCTCACACGTTTGGTGAGAAATAATGCGTCCAGTCAACGAGACTCTGCTGGTACCTGGACGTTTTGAGTTACGTACCGTTTGTTGTTTGCGTAGAGCTCGATGATTGATTTTCCAAGTTATCCAGAGCTTATATTGCATATCTATACAGCTTCACGAAGTAAATAATAAATTCATTTAATTGGAGTTCGATCGAAGTAAAAAAATAGTTTTAGATACTACTGCTTTTGACAGACTTCTTCGATCTGAAGTGGAATTGATCAATTTGATTTTTACGAGTTTTTTGGAAACTTTTTCTTTTATGACGTAACTTTCAGAGGTAAATTAATGCAAAATAGTCAATAGCTTTAAAAGCTTGAGTTCGTGCACGTAATTCAGTGAAACAAAATCAATACCATTAATTTTTAAAAAGAAAATAAAGTAAACATTTTCTATGCTACCCCTACATGAGATAAGGTTCTTCAATAATTTTTTAAATATCTTAGAAACTGTACTCTTTTTTATAAGAGTGTGTCGAATTACTTTATTTTATCTTTGCAAATATCTAAATAATCTTCATAAAAATTTTAACTGGTCACTATATTTTTGTAATTTAGATGATAGTCTCCTAGTTTTATTAAAAAATTTTTCCGTACAAGCAGTAGGACAACTAGCGAAAAAATAATCACAAGGAGAGCCTTTTATCTCCGCAATTTTTAGAGCATTAATATGGTATTTTACTAGAAAACATTTTTGGATTAAATTAAGTTGATAAGTGGTTATTACCTTGGTTTTTATGTAAAAACTTATTTTTATAACCAATCACGTCTGTCTTACCAGAAATAATCTGTTCATCAGCAAATTTATCAAAATCTTTCATTAGTGCCTGTTTGAATAATTCAGGGTCGCGTATCATTACCTGACGTTTGTAAAAAATCCAGTATTCAACTAAATGATTGCCCCATTCACAGTTTTTAACACGGCATGCAAAAAATACTCGACTAATCGATGCACCCATAAATCCAGAAACCAAGTCGCTAAAAATGAACAGAGAGTAAAACATCACAACAACAGAACGCCCCAGATTCAGGTAAGACACAATCATTTAGGCACAATTTTTATTGAAATTACAAAAATATGTGTAAGTATTCTATACACAGTTAATAATGTCAATCGGTATTTCTTTTCGAACTTGCCTCAAGCGTGTTCCTTCCGACCCTCGTGTACTGTCTTTTGATGACGGAGCCAAGTCCATTTGTGTCCAAATTTCTTCTCGCATTTATTGCATGCATAATCTTTGCAACCTTCGTGTACTGTCCTTTGGTGGATAAGCAAATGCGATTTTTGGCCAAATTCCTTCTGGCACTTATTGCATACATAACCTTTGCGACTTTCGTGTACTATTTTTTGGTGTCTAATAAAATTTCTTCGGTCTCCAAATTTCTTCTCACACTTGTCACATGCGAAATCTTTACGACCTTCATGTATTACTTTTTGGTGGAGAAGCAAATGCTCTTTACGTCCAAATTTTTTTTCGCAATTTTTGCATGCGTAATCTTTGCGACCTTCGTGGACTGTCTTCTGGTGCAAAAGCAGATATTGTTTATGGCCAAATTTCTTTTCGCACTTGTCACATTCAAAATCTTTACAACCTTCATGGACTGCCCTTTGATGCCTCAACAAAATTGCTATTCTTGTAAATTTCTTATCGCATTTGTCGCAAGCGTAATCTTTGCGACCTTCATGGACTATTTTTTGGTGTTTGCTCAAATTACTTTGATCCCCGAATTTTTTTTCGCACTTGTTGCAAGCGTGATCTTTGCGTCCTTCATGTACTGTTCTTTGGTGAAGAAGCAAATGATCTTTACGTCTAAATTTCTTTGCACATTTGTCGCATTCATTATCTTTGCGACTCTCGTGAACCGTTGTTATGTGCACGAGTAAACTTGATTTCTTCCTAAATTTCTCCTTACGCCTGTCGCTTGTAAAATCTTTGGGAGCCTCATGGACTGTTTTTATGTGCAAGAGCAAATTATGTTTAGTATCAAACCTCTTCGCGCATATTTCACACAAGTAATTTTTGAAAACTTCATGGAATATCTTTTTGTGTTTGAGTAAAGTTGGTTTATTTTCAAATTTTCTCTCGCACTTGTTGCATGTGAAATTGTCGCGATTTTTGTGTGCCCATTTTTGATGTGTTAACAAACTCGATTTTTTTATATATTTCTTCTCACATTTGTCGCACACAAAATCTTTGCAGCCTCTATGTACTGATATTTGGTGTCTACTCAGATGACTTCGGAACTCGAATTTTTTTTCACACTTGTCGCATGCGTAATTTTTTTGTTCACTGTGAATTGTATCTCGGTGTGTTATCATACTCGATACTAATGTAAATGCCTCCTGGCAAATATCACAAACGTGTTCTTTGTCATCTGAAAAAACAATACCATGTTCACTTGAATAATTTTCTGAGACTACTTCCTTGGATTTATTTTCACATTTATCCATTTTGGTGCGTAAAATAATCGATTGATCTTCTATCTAGTACCACAAAAATAGAATAAGTAAAACTTTTGTTTTGGTATTATAGCTTATTTCACTGAGAAAGACAATATTCAAACTAATTTGTTTTTACTATAAACATGATCAGTGTACCGAGGGACAGTCAAAACCGTTTATGATCGTGTGTTTATAATTAAGGACCCGATTTATCTGTTTATACATTATCCTGACATTACTTTTACAAGTAAATAAATCGTTGTACACATGGGTCAAAATAATACTTTTTTACAAAACCGTGCGCACGTATGTCACCGATCTTGACGCGCTTTTGGTATGTTATAGTATATGGTAAAAAGGTCCCAAAAAAAAATTTTTAGACCCCCTCCCCCCTCCTACCCCCCACTTCCGGTATAAACGTCCATTTTCGATCTATATTTTTTCTGAGGACATGAAGCAAGTAAAAAATCTGAAAAAATTCATAAAAATACTTTTCCACAATCCAAACAACCTTGAATTTTTTCAGATTTTTTGAGTGCTTCAGGCCTTCAGATAAAATCATTGAAAATTTCAAAAATCGAGAT